GGTATGTGAACTCCTTCCTGGAAGCTTCACAAATACACCAAATCAAGTGATCATATAAATATATGCAATCACTACATCTATCAACTATCAACTACAAAGATACATGCTTTTGTACTGCCAATCAAAAAATAGTATCGGAAATTAATAACACTTACTATGGAGAATAATTTGCATTGAAAATCCATGCTTAGGCTTTGCGTAAACCCCTTGTGCTACTAGTCTTTCTTTGATCTCACCACCGTATTGTTCTCAATCCATTACAAGATAAAAACACATTTGTATCCCACAGTAAAGATACCTCAAGGTGTTAGCATCGTAGCCCCAAAACACCTTCTTTTTGGTGAGCAAGACTATCTTTGCATGTATTACATCACTCAACAAGTTCTAGTAAGAGTGAGAAAACACTTTGCCATGGTCTTATTCACTGGATGACTTCGAATGTTGTATACAGTTTATTCAGAGAAGTATATGTCGACACATGTAGCCTTTCTATCATATAATTCTCCGGTCTATCAAAACTCAAAGTACCCTAAATGACTCATCGTGACTTCCCAAAACGAGAGTCGGGGCGTTCCTATATCCCAGCATTAGTATTTAGGTGCACCTCTGAGCTAGGTTTGTAGATGACATCCATCCACTGGGTAATAACCAATATTTACCCACAAGGTGTCGCCAACCATAGGTTGACCTGCATTTACTATCTTAGAAGGAAAACTTTCTATTGCTTAGCATTACTAATTCTGCTTTATGGCCATACTTCTCCTCCTCTTATTTACAATTGGAAGTTGAGTGGTTTTACTTGGTACCACCACTCTTTCTGGCACACACTTGTAAAGGATTAACAAGATTAAAAGACACCTTAGTAATCAGTAAATGCATTTGGCAGTTTGTTTGTAATATTATGCAAATCAACAATACTTTGAACTCAAACTTCAGTTCATTTAGTACGTGATCCTGAGCTTGAAATGCCTTATTCATTCCAAATAATTTTCTGACATTATGAGTGGTACATCAAATCTCCCCCTAATGCTTGGAAATGCTCATTATCAAATAAAACCAGCATACATGTCATAAATAGATCCCCCATAAGAGGTTCTAGATACTTAACAATCGATGGAGAGATTGAAATCTCACACTGATCCCTAGTTTCCTATGTGTACCCATCAGTGTATGCTATGGTGGTGAGATTGGTATGCATACAACGTAACCCAATCTTACACAAATAGGAAATCTTCATGGATTCCCACGTACTAAATGCATATAGGGGATATGCAGTTAATCACAAATCAGGAGTGTAAATTTGCCTGATCCCAACACGAAGTTGGCAAATAACAATTCACTAATAGTGGTCCTACTATGATCTTGATGTCTTTCTCATAGATTCCATTTATCCTTTTGGATATGTAACTAAACTTTTAATATACCAAACAATCATCATTGTAGACACAAAAATTTAGTAGTGTCCAGAATAATCAGCTCACAACATGAGCCAGTATTTACCAAATGCATGGCTGAGTGTGGATCCTTCACACACTCTAGATCATCTTATAGATGTATCTTCACAACCATGAAATGCCTGAACTGTCCATACAATCGTTGTATCGAACCCACACTTATACTTTTGAATATGATCAAGGAATCTAAGACATTCAATCTGATTTTAAGATAAGAGGTTCTTAAAATCTATTTTCCTATTGCACTTATCATATCCTTACTTTGGGAAAATCATGACCAAAATAATTGCCAATAATTTTTCACCTCATCCCATATGATGACCAAGTTGATCATTCCAAATTCGGAATACATCAATAGTGTGAAAAATTATCTTATACGCAACATGTTGTACGGGGATGGTTATATGCATAATACAACCAAAATGAGACTCATTTCATTACTTATATGCCATATCCAATGTTGTATTTTTGTGTTTCCATACGAAAACACATTTGAATATTTCTATAATTTGGTAAGATATGAGTTTAATTAGGACATAATAAATATCCTCAATTACTAACTCAGTATCCATATGAAGAATGATAGTGGCTAAATAGGCCAAACTATCATTGCATCACATCAGCGATGGCCAAAATTATTCCCTCTTCAAGAACCAGGAATATTTTGCTTTCCTAATTATAGAGTTTGTGGATACAAATGTCCACTAGGCACATATCATTCCCATTGGAATGATTCTTGTACAATCTATATGTGACAAGAATTTAATGAAATTCTCGTCTAATATATAGAAATCCATAAATATTGTCGAGTATCAAATACATCAATATGATACCCACAGTAGTTATGCATTGATAATAAGCATTACAACATATTCCGATGGACATTATCAAATAATATCAATGGACCATGAGATTATTCCAAATCTCAAAGCAAGTCATTCAAAGCATATTCGATGATCATGTTATCCATGTATTTGAGGTTCTCTTACGAGAAAAGTGAAGTGTTGTTATGTGATCCTATAGGATCTAGCAGTGAACAACCAACATCCTATGTAGCTTCAGATTTAAGATTGAAAAATACTTCATATCTTATGTCTTAGCTCCTGTTTCCTCCCTTATAGACTTTTGATATAGATCAATTTCAAACTTAAGAGTATGACATTGTTTAGTGCTATGCTAAACACAACCACATATATGACATTACTATGTCATTCTTGGGTTCACATTGTCATGAATCATTTTGCATATTAGGCCTTTTGCTTCTGTCATTGGAAGCAAATTGTATGAACAATATGATCATAGTCTTCCATAGTTTGAAAACTAGAGACATGATCCACTCATGATTAGCCTCAAGCTATATAAGTTCATTTATTGTTCATAACACTCTCGAAGAGTGAGCCACAAATTATGTGCATTGTCTTCCATAATCGAAAAACTTTATGGATGTAGTACCTTAACAATAATAAGGCACAATTTTCTTTGATCTATAACAAACAACCCCTAATTGAGGTTCATTAAATTCTTCCATTAGTCCACGGGATAAACCAATGTTAATGTCCATTGTCCATATGGGATAGTGGTGCCATCTAGGGTGAGTTTATCAAACTCCTCTGAAGTCAGTATCCACAACATGTGACAAACCATTGATTTAATTAATTTACAACAATGGTAAATTAAAAATCAATATGGCGATGTTATAATATCAAATGCAAAATTCTAGGGGATTCCATATCTTGTCACTTGGTTTTGGATAGTTGGAGGTAGTCACAAAAATGGTAAACCTCACAACCATTAGAGGTAACCAGAAGTGTAGACCTCACAAACAATCATCACTAATATTGGTACACACATTGTAGATAATCTCTATGTCCAAAACATAGAGTAGATCTATCAGTAGTAGGCAAATAAATTGCTGCTATAGGCATGGTCTCTAGGCTGATATATTCGGATGAATAGACCATGGACCATGCCTAAGACTCTACTACCTATGTGTAGCCTTTAACAATGAATGATGGTACCATTCTCATATTTCCAAAACACTTATTTGGGAGAGCACAATGTAGGTAATCATCAAGTTCAAATAAACATGATGTAGACTTCTCAGCAATGGGCGAATAATCGCTGCCATAGGCACGGTCTTTGGGCCGAATAATTCAATATGAATTAAACGCAGCCAATGGCTAGGACTCCATCACTTGTGTTTTGATCCCATATATATCCAAGATATGCATGGGAAAATTTTGCATAATCTATTATTAATTAAGCAACACTTAATTAAGAGAATTCACCTATGTTAAAATGCAATTTATGAAAAATTACTAAATTAACAAGGTCAACAAAGTACATGAATGATCACTCTACTATACTGATACTGTTAAAACATGAAACTTACTAAGCACATAGTGCTATAGTTGGCTAGTGGCATAACTATGCAAAATCCCATAGGATCAAAGCAAAAATCCACTTCCGATGTTAGCCTCACTAGCAAAAAAAGGTTTGACTGCCATTTTGCTTTTCCAGATTAGGCCAATATGGGCCTAAACTCACCCATCATTAATTAACTATCTAATTAAGAGGATCCGATTTTGTTGCAAATAAAATCATTGCCAAAAACAAAATCGACAAACTAAGTATGTTTAGACATATATAATTTTTTTGGTCTAAAAAAATGTATAGGAGTAAAACTCTACCATACCACTATGTTAAAGTCCATGACTAAAATAGAACATTATAAACACATAAAACATATCTAAACATTGCAATAGTAAATTCATCTACAATATAACTTGCAATATAATTGATCATGATGCAAAAAATTGATGACGCATAGATCTCAAAATTTTACACTAGGTAAACGTTGTGCATCATAATCATAAATTGTTTAAACCAGAGGTCTAAATCGAACATTTATATGAAATATATGTAAATGGAATATATTGCATATTCGCATTGATGATTTAATGGGGGTAAATAAAACATAAGGCTGAAATACGCTAATAATCCTTGGATTATCACGTAATTCACATAATATAGGAGAGTCTTTGTGCAAAACGGCACAATCCTTATCCTATCCCCACGAACGGTTGCTCCACAATCCACAAGGATGGGTTCTGTGGCCCCTGGCCTCGGGGCCAGAGGGACGGCGCCACCATCGCTGGTCACGCGGCACCGACGTCGGTGGGGTGAGTAGGCACGAATGCCTCCGTACACACGTGCGCAGCCACGCCGGCCTGGCACGCGGCCACCGCAACCGGGCCCGGCGAGTGGGTGCTGGCTGACACCGCTCGTACTCCGTCCGTTGTAGGGTGCGAGGGACCGGCCGCGGGCTCCGGCCGCCAGGGACAGAAACCTTTGAAATTAATTCCTAATTAATCATTAAATAATAATTCTTAACAGAGAGGAGGCCCAACTTGCCAACAGTGGCCATATTCGTTTCTTTTATAATCCGTACTTTATCTCTCTCACAACAAATCAGCCGAAACAGTGTTTCGGTTTTTTTTTTCAGCGAAGCGAACGGGGCATATCCCAGTGCCAACAGCTAAGCGAATGACGCCAAGGAGTCTACCATTTATTCTACTTAAAGGCATTACAAATGATTTCTCGGCTGATAGGATAATTGGTAAAGGCTTCCGTGGAAATGTGTACAAGGTATGATTAAAATTTACATTTTTCAAGCTAGTATGCTAGGGTTGTTGTTGTCGCTTTTTTTTTTTGTATTATCCGGTTTGGATTTCTCTTCTTTTAATCTAATCGGCAGCTCCGATTCCATTGAAAAAAAAGGTGGCCATTCAAAACCTAGTAGCACGTGATCCAAGTTCTAATTTCACTAAGATGAGATTTTAATTTTTAAATAGGGAATTTATGAAGATGGGACAATCATCGCCGTGAAGATTCTCCACATACGTGTTCATGATCTGGTGGGATTCGAGAGAGTGGCTGCAAGCTTATACCATGTCCAGCATGAAAATATTGTACAGTTAGTTGGCCACGCTGTGGACACAGAAGAGAGAGTTATACATCGCCGTGGAAGAAATATCGTTGTTAAGATATCAAATAGTGCACTTTGCTTTGAGTATGTTCAAAACGGAAGCCTTGAACGGTATATTTCAGGTACAGCGCTGCAGCATTTTTATTTGTTGATATTCTATAAACCTGAAAGTTTGGGCATACAATACACTTGCTTTGCTTTTGCAGGCGAGTGTTCTGGACTCGATTGGCGCACACGATACAAAATAATTAAGGGAATTTGTGTTGGTTTAAGACACCTTCACGAGGGATTGCCCAGTCCTATTTTCCATTTGGACCTGAAACCTCAGCACATATTGCTTGATGAGAACATGACGCCCAAAATTGAACATTTGGGTATATCAACACTATTGGACGTATACAGTACTCCGGGATTTGGCCAATCATCAATGTGGGTGGCCACAACTTAACGTGGCTTTTGCCCTTTGGCTACTAAATTGCATTTTCTTTTACCAGAACCGTGTCTGATATTATGATGTTCTGCAGGAGATACATGGCGCCAGAGTACATTGATAAAGGAGTAATTTCAAATAAACATGACATATTCAGCCTGGGTATAATAATCTTGGAGATGATAACAACACACAGCCGAATGGGAAATCTTCAATCCGAAGAACGAAAAAAAGCTATCGAACTTGTAAGGCGAAAAAAAGAGGCTTACTTTCGTCTACAAATGCATTTGTTTTTTTTTTATCTATCATTCGATCTTACGTTGCACTGTTAACTCGATGTGCAGGTAGTCGGAATGTGGAGGAAAAGGCTACAGCGGGAAACATCCAAGGCCCGGTCGGTGGAAGGATATTGCCACCAAGTGATGGCATGCATCCTAATAGCACTGAAATGTGTTGAGTACAACAGGCATGATCGGCCCAACATAAGAGAGGTTGTCCGTGCGTTGGATGAAACAGAGACATGGATTCACGACGACAGTGATCTGCTTGATGTGCACCCGACGGATCTCCGCTTCGCCTTCAAGCCGAAAAAACACGCCTCCTGCTTGGTGCAGCTACACAACAAGCAAGACGATCTTGTGGCGTTCAGGATTATGTGTCATAAGAGTCCAAAGAGGTACCACATGAGCCTGCCGCTCCACGGCATGGTGCCTCCCAGGTGCACCTACACCCTCGCCTTGATGACTAGAAAGCAGCTGAAACCACCACCGTCAGACAGCGACGAGGCCTTGGTGTTGTGGAGTGTTGCAGTGAGCCATTCTCAGGAGCTACAGCTGAAGAATCTTAGTAACCAAGCGTCGGCGTCCAGAGAATATGAAAATATGTTCAGGAAAGCACAAGAGTCTGCTGACGATGAGATGCAAGAGGTGACGCTCAAGTGTATTTCTGCTCCACCACCAGCTGATGAAGAGGCAACCTCCTCCGATGTAAGTTTTGTTCAGTGATCTCTCACCTCTTCCTGTGTAATGTAATAACAGGTGCCTGTTTTCTTTTGCTTATTCTATATATATGGTTTTCCTGGGGTTTGCATTGGTCCAGCAGCTCTCCGGACAAAAAATTGAGGTAATTATATATCTTCATTTTTTGTTCCAAGATGCTAACTATGAATTCATTTTTCATTAAGAAAAATAGGAATGAAGCATGAACAATCTGGTTCCTCTGAACTGATGATCGTGCCTCCCATTTGGTTGCACCAGATCATAGCCACGCTGAACGCACATAAAGTGTCGTCTGTACAAGTTCATCCGACGGAGCCATGGTGACTTCTCTAATATATTACCTTTTGTTTGCTGACCAAATTAAAATGATGTCCAAATAATCAACGCCTGGTGGTGTAATAATTCTAATTGCCTGCCTCAGGATTCTGACAACCCATGAAGGGGGAAACCTTCGCCGTTGGAACTACAAGACAACGGTATATTTGCAATGCATTCACTGCTCAGTAGAATGTGCCTCGTACTCCAGTTAATTTTGATGAACTGATTCAACTTAGGTCATATTTTCATTTATCTGCAGGAAGTCTTGAATTCATTTGAAGACGAAGCAGGTACGGAAGCTTTCTAATTAATCCCCGTAATCGTTTACCATTAGCTCCTCCCACATCATCCCATGATGTTTGATCACATTCCACAACTTTGCAGTTTATATCGCTAAATTCATCCCACAAGAGGAATGGATTGTGGCCGGAGATGGCAATGGGTGGATTCATGTGTTCAGCTGCGATGGATACCAAGACCCGACAAGCTTCGAAGCTCATGATGGTCACATCATGTCGTTGGCTGTTCATCCCACTGATTCCTATGTGCTGTCATCGTCTCATGACGATCACCTGATTAAGCTCTGGCACTGGGATATGCATTGGGACTTCAAGAAGGGGCCCTGGGCGTGCACTCGCACATTTGAGGGGCACACTGACAGAGTGTCGCAACTAGTTTTTAACCGAGAGGACCCTGGTTGCTTCGCCAGTGCATCATGGGATGGCACGGTCAAGGTTTGAACCACAACCAGAATATTAAACTTCTTCCAGTGACGTGGGATTCTCCTAGTGTTTAGGATTCAATATTTAGTATGAGCTTTTTCCTACCAAATGCCTCCTAGTGAGGATTTCCATGTGCTATGACTGATAGTAGTGTTATTATTACTACTTAAAAACACTAGGAAAACTCCACCATTTTGGTAGTGAACCTTATTACTTGTATGATCCCTTGACTTTTTAATTTTAGTTTTCCTTATTGAATTGGTAGTGTACCAACAACATGAAAAAATTAGAATGGTGTTTCATGATGGTCATTTTTTGAGTACCTATTTTGAAATGGACCATTGACTACCCTCACAGATCTGGAGTCTTAACTCTGATGTGTGCAAAACAATCATGTCAGACACGCATCAGGATGGCCTTCTCTGTGTTGATTTCATCACTGGTGCTGATCATCAGCATCTTATCACTGGATCAAAGGATCAGACTGCGCAGGTTTCAGTTCGCATTTTTAGTTGTAGAGTACATTCATGTATCATCTGCAAGCTGTTTCCATGGTTAATACCATTGTAATGCGTTCTGTCTTTTTTTTTATTCAACCAGATCTGGGACCTGGAGATACATAGGCGCAGGGAATACCTACAAGGGCATACAGACCATGTTAGTGTTGTCTACTATCAACCAGATCATCAGAAACTAATTACAGGTTCACTTGATGGGACTATTCGGATTTGGGATGCCACTACTTACAGGTATCCCTTTGACATACATATATGGGCATTAGGTTCAAATAAGAACTAGTCAAAATAGAACAAATGTTACAAATGGTTATTATGAAAATTGTCATGGGCAAATACAGTGCGCATAGTTGATGGATTGGTATCAAATTTGGCTGAAATAATCCATCTGAGTTTTTATTACCAAAGAAGTTAACAATATATATATAAGCTTCTTCCCTTGCAGGCTTGAGAATATTATTGCTCTTAACCTAGGAGCAGTTTCTGATGTTGGATATATAAAGGAGTTACAAAGGTACTTCAAAAGTTGCTGTTCCTCGGCTACTTTACTCGCAATGGTACTTCCAATGAATAGTGAATAATGAGCTACTTTGGATGAATAATGAACATCATGGCTTATAAAGTACTATTTACTTTCTATACTATCCGATGGCTACAGTCTATATCCACTGGAACAGCAGACACCTTTTCATATTTGCTTTATAAATTTTACGCCATGGCATCATATATTATCCTCTAATTATATAAGAAAAAATTCTTATATTCCTCCATTTTTTTTCATAATGGTTCATGTAAGCGGACACTATGAATCTAATTGGTACAGGACACTAAGGATATCCAATAGCATACATGATGTGGTTCAATACATTTTAAGTAGGTTAAGACATGTATTTTGTTGAATATAAATTGTTTGCTTACTAAAACTTTGTTAATCTTCACTCATTTTCTTCAATTTTGATGAAACATACTTTGTTTTCCCTTCTGGCCCATGTCAAATTCATGACTAGGGAGTACACTAATTTGTGTAGGATTATTGTCGGGTGCTCTGAAGGAATAGCAACGATGGAGATTAATTTCCTTGAACTCTCAATTGCAAGCAAAGGACGAATGCAGATAATGCCATGAACATGAAATGGCATTTGTTATTACTACAAATCGTTTGAGTTGCGACGACAAAATGGCAGGTACACAAAGCTGGATGTTTGAGTCAACCGAATGGATTTGTTTCTTTATATTTCGTTTTGGAACTTGTGTGGTGGAGTGACATGGTGAACTATTTGTAGAATCGTAGTTGAGCCACATCAGACAGACTGATCGATCAGAATTTTTGTTAACTGGTATGGCATATCGTGGTGAAACTGGACTGAGTAGTATTAAGGCCCACGTTACCTGGTGACCAGACATTTCTTCTCCTCTCCTCTTTGGAAGCCTTTGCTGCGTTCACTCAAGTTCCTCCTGCGCTTTCATTTGCTTTGTCGTTTTAGCTGCAGTGTAGGAAATACAAAAATTGCTGCCATGGTAATTTCTTGGCTCCTCGTCCTTCCTCATCCATATGAATGTGTAATTCAATTTTGTTTGCGTCCCAAGTTCTGTGAAATATTACCAACAGAAAGAAACATGAAAGACTTCAGACTTTGGGATAATGAAACCTGTTCACAATTCAAGATTTATGAGATACAGAGTTCGATGAAGCAGTTCTGCTTTTTCATTAGTCTTATGAGGTTTGGTTAAAGTCATGAGATTTCAGGCCAATCGAATCTAATTCACGAAGTTGCTAGGCTACAATCAGTGGTGCAACCCAGTTTGTGCTGTCTCCACCCTAATAAGCATGTACAAAAACGTAAAGGTATCACAATCACAGTTACTCCACTTATTCATCATTACTCGCCTATGACAGATAAGCAAAAACTCAACTCAACCTTCCATCCATCTTATGCAGAGATCAACAGCGCAACAACAATAGTACGAATTGAGAACTAGAGATTATCAAAGTGTCAAAGCAGCTAGATTCACAAATATGGCTGCTACAATCACGGCATACACTGTCATGCTACCATCCATCATCAATTGCAACTACTGTCACACCAAACTCATCTCAACTGCATCACCAAAAGGGAGTTGTACACTGGTAGCCGCCATTGTCACCTGCTAGTTCCTAACCATCTAAACCCACCTGCTAGTGCTAGCTCAGAGCTCCTGCTTGGCGAGGATGTGCTCGATCCACAGCGCGCGATGCGGTTCAGACATCACCAGAAGCTGCTCCTTAGTGAAGCCAGGGACGCCCATCACAGTGGGGTACAGATCAGGGTGTGGTTCAACTGGAGCAGTGGTAGCACGAACAGCAGATGCGAGACGAACAATGGCGTCATGGAGTCGAGCAAACTGCTGGGCGCTGTACTTCCTGCGCCTCCTCATCACCAAAATGTAGGACACAGCTACTGATGCCATAGCACCAGCAAGAAGGATCAGCTGCTGTCGACGACGTAGCTAGTCCACCTACAAGGGGTGTCCCAAAACTTCATCAGGAAGACGCAAATAGTCCAAAACAAGTCGCTCAAATTGTACGCCAGAAGGGATTGGTGTGCCTCTTTACGGTGACCACAAAATCCCGTCAGAGGAATGCTAGAGTAGTGGAACATTTAATACACTGCTCCTGCTCTGACAAGCATCAATGGAACCCCCAAAATCCCAAATGCCAATATGCAAGGTACCGCATAACCGCATTGCAATGAGTATCATGGAATCAAGCTCTGAACTTTATATAACAGAACATCAATCTACACTGGCATTGCATCGAACCTGTCTATGCAAACGCAGGGCCATGTGAACATTCAATTTTTGTGGATTTCATTTTAAGTGAACAGCCATGGACTAGTAATGTGCGCAGAACCGATCTGAAGTTCTGAACGAACAAATGCCCCGATTCCACACCAAAGGCTCTGGATCACAGCCAATCTGAATCCACCAATGCCACGTCCTCCGAACTCAACCAAACTATGGAACTGTTGGATTTTGGCCCAGCAGAAACGCACCTCGGCGGCAGCGGCGGCGGAGGCAAAGGTGGAGCGACTGCCGGGGCCCGCAGACAAGAGGCGACGCTTCGCCTTGGGGCTGCCAGATCCCCAAAGTCCTGCTCCGCCGGAGCACGCCGCCGGCGAGGCGTGGGCAGGGCCGTGCGGACGCTTGCGGGAGACCGGGTTATCCCTGCCTGCGGCGCTCATGGCTGTTGGGTTTGATTGTCTAGGGCGCGGTGTGGTGTGCAGTTTGGGGACGGCGACGGATACGCGCCGAAATGGTTCGCCTTCAGCCTTAAAGGGTGCGATCTGAATTTTCGTTTTCGCGGGCTCAGGAAAAGTCTTGGCGCGCATATCTACAATGGATTGCACATTCTCTTTGTTTTCTTTGCTTTTGATGAGTTATCTTACGATTTACTATAGCAACCAAACAAACGAAACAAAAGAACAAATAAATTTGCAAAAGTGATTTTTCCGGCAGTCACTTTCCTTAAAAAACTAATACATTTGTACAACCCTGTGTATATTCACAAAAAGCCATAGCCGAGATAGGCTAGACCGTGTTGAAAACCAAAATTATTCATTTTGTGAAGTTGTCAAGATACATAATGAACTTTACCATTGCGTTTATCTCATCGAGATGGTTAAAAAATATATAGTCTAATTTGATATTCGGATGAAGAAATAATGCCCTTGCGAAAGTGCCCTCACATTGGAAGTCCCGACCTATGTCTCAGAACTTCCGACACACATCGGAAGTTCCCATATACCTAAAAAGCCTGTTGGGCACCGAGGTTCCTCCCACATCGAAAGTTGCGATATTGACTGAAGTTTAGATCACCGATGATGTTCCTTGTTCAAATTTTTTGGATGCCAATCGGAACTGCTCCGAGCTCGTGGGAAACTTGAAGATTACGCCTTAAGGTATCCTACTAGAATAAGACCACCTCACTTTATTTATGTTGGAGGATCATTGCCGACTGAGGTAATCCAACTACACAATCGTTCTTCGTCGCTGCTGCATGGCCAGTAGATCGACGACGACAAAGCCCAAGAGTGGTCAAGATGAATACGACAGCCCATAGCCACTGCACACCCCCAACGGGGTCTCTCTCGGGCGTGTGGGGTTTTGGTTTTCAAGAGACCTTGTCAGTGTATTTTGCGTACCGTGCTCATTATTGGAGGCACCAGGTTCGTATGTGAACATACATTAGGTGTCAATCGATCTAAAAGTTGGCTAGGCCCTATAACGAGTGATCTAGCTCCTTTTGGTGTGGCGACCTAATAAGTGTCAACACACTTTTTTTGTGACTCCACTAAGAACGATTGGTTCTGCTGTATCCTTCTTTCTAACCTAGCCAATGTGTTGGTTCAAATCTATCTTTCTTGTGTTTTCATTACCGTTGCATCTGGCACAAAAGGACGATTGCATCTGATATTTACCCCCTCAATTAGGATGTGGAGCAATAGCTGCAAAGGCATTTTCACCGATCCAATGGGTCAGGAGAGCATCGTCATGTCTACACCAAGACCTAATTAAAATGCAAGTGAAATAATTGAGGGTTCTCCACTTTATCATGCTATGAATAAGCTTATCTCCAAATTTGATGAATTAGAGAAAAGAGTATTTGGTGCTTCTGTTGTTACTTTGCCTCATGATGCATATACTAGTGGATCAGCCCCGGTTACCGACGCCATTCCACTATCATTACGATCATGTAACACCCTAAAATTTGCTTCTTTGAAAATAGAGCTAAATTGATTTAATTTTGTATTTGTGTGCTCATGAAAATATAGGAAAACAAAAAGAATTCAATAAATTAAAATTCATCATAAGGCTTAGCAACATTTTCTTGCATACATGCTGGTGCATATTCTTTATTGTGATGTGTGGTTTTGACCGAAATTCAAAGTGATTCAAATTACTTTTGAAAATTGTTTTGGAGTAGACTTTGAAATAAAGGAAAAGGAAAAGGAAAAGGAAAAGAAAGGAAATCTCTCTCTTCTCACGTTTTGACCCGAAGGCCCGCTCTCTCTCCTTCCCTCAGCCTGGCAGCTAGCAAGGCCTAGCCTGCTCTCTCAGGCCTAGCACCTTCCCCTCTTTCCCATACCGCTGGCCAGCTCCTTTCCCCTCGCGTGGCCTGCAAAGTAGGCCGGCCCAGCAAGCCACGCAGGCGCTCTCCCTTCCTCTCTGTCTGGCTAGCCGATCGGCCCCGCACCCTTGTTTCACCGATAGGTGGGCCCTGCTGTTAGCAGCGTCTTCCTCCTCACGTAGCCGTCGTCAATCCCGATTTCCTGGGATATGGCGTGATCCACAAGCCTGGCACACCTATAAAGCCCAATGACCTCTGTCATGCCTCCGTTTTTCCATCTATGCCATCCTAGGGCCCTAGCTCTGTGCCACGCGCACGCTCGGGATCTTGCCGAGCTTGAGGTCACCCGCCGCTAGCTTTGAAGCCAGGCACTGCCTCCCCGACGTCGAGAATCGGCCGCCGAGCTCCGCTCTACGATAGAGAAGCCATAGGTTCTCTTCTTCTTCTCCCTCTCAGTCTTAGTTGCTCACACGCCACCGCCGGTTGGTTGCAGGTGGTCACTGATCACCCCACCGAGTCCCGCGATAGCTTCGAGACTCCATCGCCCGCGCAGAGCCCCTAGGTGAATTCGTCGTGCTTCCATCTTCCTCCCCGTGCTTTTATCGTTGAAATACGAGGCCTCCACGTCATTCTCATCCAACTGAGACCAAGAGGGAGAACCCCAAGCCACCCCATATTCCGTTAGGTGTGGTAGAACTTAAGCAAGATGAGTTCCTCAACTTGAATCAAGGCTCCATGTTAATTTGTGAGTATCGTGATAGATTCACTCAGTTGTCATGCTATGCTCCAAGAGAGGTGGATAGTGATGCTAACAAACAAAAACACTTTTTGAAAGGACTAAATCATGGTTTGCAACTACAACTGATCACCGTTGTGTATGCCGACTATCAAACGTTGGTGGATAGAGCAATTGTAATTGAGAGCAAGCATCGAGAGATGAAAGAGAAGAAGAAAAAGCTTGACGTTCAGCGCTAGTTAAGAAACACTCATCTCTGTTTTGCTACACAACCAGAATATC